GCCGGGCACCTGTTGGAGGCACAGACACAGGTGCGGGGGCTGGCGCCGGGGGCGCGGGGACGCGGGCCGCGGTAGCCCGGGTGCTGGGGGTGTTCGGCTCCCCTGCGGCTGCCTTTCTGGCTCCCTGGGGAGCCGCGCTCAGGAGCAGACATCTGAGGCAGGGGTCCCCACTTTCTGCCGCCGGGGTGGGGCACAGGGGAGCAGACAGGCTGCGCATTCTGGGGCTGAGCGTTCAGCGCAAAGTGGAAGCCCCAGGATGGATGACACCCTGACCAGCGCAGCACCTGGTGCGGAGGAAGCCAGCCTCGGAGCAACAGAGCCGGGACCTGTGCGGCCGCAGGGGGTGCGGAGGGCTGGGGACCAGGGGAGCCAGGGGGCGAGGAGAGCCGGGCGGATGGCAAGGGGACCATGTCCAGACCGGGGGGCATGGCCGGGGGCGCTGCGACCTGGCTGCTGGGAGTGGTCCGGCCACCCTGCGCCCGTGGAGCCGGGCTCTGGTCTGGAGGGCTGTGACCTGTCCGCCCACCAGCTGGCCCGGGCCACCCTCTCCCTTGGCGCCTAGGAATGGAGGCCAGGGAGGGCTCCCAGCCAGCCCACTGCCAGTCCAGAGAGTCAGCGGCTCCGGCTCTCACATCCCCTCCCCCAGCCAGGGTGCTGCATGAGGGGCCGCAGGGGCGACCGCATGACCATCAACATCCAGGAGCACATGGCCATCAACGTGTGCCCCGGGCCCATCCGGCCCATCCGGCAGATCTCTGATTACTTCCCTCGCCGGGGACCAGGACCCGAAGGGGGCGGCAGGGGATGCGGGGAGGCCCCTGCCCATCTGGCCCCCCTGGCTCTGGCCCCCCCTGCAGCTCTCCTTGGGCCCACCACACCCGAGGATGGAGCTGAGGTGGACAGCTACGACTCGGATGACACCAGTGAGTTTGGGGGCGCTCAGGCTGTGACCCTGCTGGGTGTGCATGAGGGGGAGGAGGGACGGAGAGACTGCCGCCGCAGCTGCAGTCCGGGTGGAGATTACAGCTTGAGCGAGGCTCAATATTCAATATTTCTGCTGAGACACTCCACCACCCACACAGCCCCAGTCGCGGCCGAGACGGACCCAGACGCGCACACGCACATGCTCAGCTCTCACACACACGCTGCAGGCTGACAGGGACGTGGATGGTGCATCCCGGGCCTGGCCACTGGCTTGTCACACACTCCTGTCACCTTTCCCCTCTTCTACAGCTGCCCTGGGCATGCTGGAGTTCGACCTTCTCTATGACCGGGCTTCTTGCACTCTGCACTGTAGCATCCTCAGGGCCAAGGTGGGCACTCCCTGTCTCCCATACAGCCGGCAGGGCTCCCTCCTTCCTTCCCTCCCCGGGCAGACCGTGCGCCACCCTCTTCCTCCTGCCTGCACCACACCTCCCGGCCCCAGCTCTGCAGAGGGAGGGAGGGAGAGGGCTGGAGCCCACAGCCCTCTTCCTGGTCTCTCCCCCAGGGCCTCAAGCCCATGGACTTCAATGGCCTCGCGGACCCCTATGTCAAGCTGCACCTGCTGCCTGGGGCCTGCAAGGTAATGGCCTCCTCTCTCCCTGCCGCTGCCTGGCCATGTGGGTCCCTCTGATTCTCCCAGTTTCTATCCCAGCGTCTGGGGGATATGTATCAGAAGCTCTGTCCCCACCCCCAGGCCAACAAGCTAAAAACGAAGACTCAGAGGAACACCCTGAATCCTGTGTGGAACGAGGACCTGACATACAGCGGGATCACGGATGATGACATCACTCACAAGGTGCTCAGGTGAGGGTGCAGCCCAGCGCCTCCTCCAGGACAGCTGTCGCTGTGACCTTCTTCGGTTGGCTGATCTGAGTCCCGTTAAGCCCCAACCCTGCTGATGAGACTCGGGTGCATTCAGTGGCTCCCCGAACCCAAAATGCTTCCCTGGCATTGCTGCCTGCCTCCTGCTTCTCCGGCAGAGGACTGCTCTTGCTCGCCACCAGTTCCACAGTACCCGGCCTCTCCCGTGTCCCCTGCACCTGGAAAGCACTCTGGGCTTCCTGTCTGCCGGCCCAGATCCTACTCGCCACTCCCACCTCCTCCAGGAAGGCCTCTTTGCAGAGGTCCTGATGACAGACAGCCCTGTATATCTTAAGTCCGTCTGTCCTATCCTCGGAGCCCCTAAAATCCGAGCAAACTTTTCAGGTCCAGGGAACTTGCCAGCATCCCTCAGGGTGGTGGGGGCACGAGACCCTAGCTCGGGAGACTTCCGTTCTCAGCAATAGGAAGGGCAGGAGGGTTGCCCCCGGGAAGGGCTGTGGTCAGGGCTACTGCAGTGAGCACCCTGGTATGGGGGAGGAGGGACAGAGGCAGAAACCAGAAAGGCTGGGCCCGTGCTCCAGATGTGAGAGCTGAGGCTTAAAGGCCGTAAGGGCGCCTTTACTAGTATTTTCCTGTTTCTTTATTTCACTTGACCCTTGTGATGGCTTCAGGGCGTGCATACTGCAGGCGAGAACCGGAGGGAGGTTAAGTGACTTGCTCAAGGTCACACAGTCGCTAGGAGTGACAGGGCTGGGGTTCTGACCCCTGACATGCCACAGCTGCCCAACACAGTGGCTGGCCAGGGCAGCCCAGGCCCAGGGCTGCAGGGACAGGTGAAGTCAAGGCAGGCCTTTAATTGCTGGACTGTGCCCCTGGGCCAGCGGGGCCCACACTTCCGAGGAGGCCCCTCTAGCTCTTACAGCCTGTGCCTGGGGACCCAGAGGGGCAGTCTCCAGGATTCTCGAAGGCTGCCTGCGGCCAAGCAGGGTGAAGGCTCAAACTGCCACCCACTTTAGGCGAGGTGGTGCATCAGGGGAGAGCTGGAACTGGTCTGAGGACCTTCCTCCCACACTGGGGTGGTGAGGTGCCCAGGGCCCCTGACCCTGCAGTTCCCCGCCAGGATCTCCGTCTGCGACGAGGACAAGCTGAGCCACAACGAGTTTATCGGGGAGATCCGAGTGCCCCTCCGCCGCCTCAAGCCTTCGCAGAAGAAGCATTTTAACATCTGCCTCGAGCGCCAGGTCCCGGTCCGCGTGGGAGCCGCAGGGATGCCCGGGGGCGGGGGGCTGGGGAGGTCAGGCTGCTAGAACTTTGTCTCTGTCCCTCAGCTGGCGTCACCCTCCTCCATGTCTGCAGCGCTGCGGGGCATCTCCTGTTACCTGAAAGAGGTGAGGCAGCACAGGACCACGGCCCGCTGGGAGGCAGTGGCGGACACGGGCTGACCAGCGTGTGTCCCCACAGCTGGAACAGGCCGAGCAGGGGCCCGGGCTCCTGGAAGAGCGTGGGCGCATCCTGCTGAGCCTCAGCTACAGCTCTCGGCGCCGGGGGCTGCTGGTGGGCATCATTCGCTGCGCCCACCTGGCTGCTATGGACGTCAACGGCTATTCTGATCCTTATGTGAAGACGTAAGATGTCACCGCGAGGCCCGCTCTCCTCCCCAAGGGATCCTGAACCCACCTGTGTGAGCTTTCCCGTAGGCCTGGCTGCCCTTAACTGCACGGCTCTCTGCCCAGGTACCTGAGACCAGATGTGGACAAGAAATCCAAGCACAAAACATGTGTGAAGAAGAAGACGCTAAACCCGGAATTTAATGAGGTAAATACGGCAGGGACCAGAAATTGTGAGTGGGGACAGGAATGGAGGGGGAAAGGGCCTGACGTTGGGCCCGGCTCCTCCTGCCCTCAGGAATTTTTCTATGAGATGGAGCTGTCCACACTGGCCACCAAGACTCTGGAAGTCACCGTCTGGGACTATGACATCGGCAAGTCCAATGACTTCATAGGTGAGGAGAGCGGCCCGGCGGGGTGGTGCCGAGGGCTGACAGTACGCAGCTGGGCCTGACCACTGTCACCGCCGGCTGCCCACCAGGTGGCGTGTCCCTGGGGCCAGGCGCCCGAGGAGAAGCACGCAAGCACTGGAGCGACTGCCTACAGCAGCCCGACGCGGCCCTGGAGCGCTGGCACACCCTGACCAGCGAGCTGCCCCCTGCGGCCGGGGCGCTGCCCTTGGCCTGAGTGACCAGCAGCTGTCCACGCAGGCTCCCGGGCCGGGTCCAGTACCCAACCTTCGCACGAGTGTGTTGCACGTTTACACGGGGTGGGGTGCTCCTGCCCCGCACTACCTGTCTTATTCTTGTGAGAGTCTCTGTAACCGTGGGTCTGTCTTCTTGTGAGGGACTGGAGATCTTTATTCACATATGCAAATTCCTCTCGCCTGACGCGCTGTTACCTGCAAATATGCAAACCGCCCTCCGCACACCCAGGGGGGCACCCCACCCCTCCGCGGCCCTCTCTCTGCACCTCTCCAAGCTGCCCGGCCCCTCGCCCACAAGGAGGAGTCGGATTAGGGGAGGTTTGGAAGACAGTATTTCCACCAGACAGACAAGAAAAAGAGCCACTCCTTTAATACAGGATTTCACTTAAGAAGTCCAAGCCCTGTACAGCTGCCCTTTTAAAGGGGTGGCCACCACAGGGTGTCTGTCGCCCCAGAGGCGGCAGACGCTCCTGGCCACGCATTTAAGTAACTGTCCCCTGGACGGGGCCGGGCTGTGAGAGCAGGGCCCCTGCCACCTTCCCGGGGGACACTTGTGCATGTTTACGCCTTTTCTGATTGTGTCAGTGGCCGAAGCATGGCAACTGGGCATCAATAAACATCTCTGAGGACGCGTGGCTCGCACGCTCGCACGGGGAGGGGGTGCGGGGCGGGCCGCGCCGGCGGTGGCGGGCGTCACTCTGGGATGTCGATCACCAGGTCATCGTCCCCGTCCAGGGCGTCATCCCCGCTGCCTGCGTCGCTGAACATCTGCCGAGGGACCGTGCTCAGGATCGTGTGGGGGGGCATCTTGGGAGGGGGCAGCGGGGTCAGGGCTGTCCCGACCCCAGCCCCAGGACCCCTGGCAGGGAAGGTCAGTGGCCCGCCCACAGGGCAGTCCGGGGGTCCCACCGCCATCTGCAGCAGGGGAAGAAACACAGGGAGGGCTTGTCAGAGGCACTGGGCCCTCCAGGAGGCTGGGCACTGCCCCTCGAGGCAGTTCCAGGGTGAAGAAGGGCGTGGGCACAGCCAGCCAGCTAGTGGTGGGGTCCAGGGCCTGCCCCTCAGTCCCTTGTCCCCAACCATCAGTGCCTGGGCTGAGGGGCCGCGATGGAGGCGTGACGATGGGTGGGGTAGGGTGTGACAGGAAGCAGGGACGGAAAGGCTGGGCTCTGCCTCCTGCAGCAGGCAACTGGTCACCCAGTGGCAGCAGCTCCAGCCAGAGCCGGGCTAGTACGCAGCGCCCACCTCTCGCCTCTGCAGGCAGGCCCCTCCCGCACCCCTGACTCGCTCCCCCCTGCGGAGCTCACAGCCTGTGACGTCACAAGCTGCCTGAGCCAGTCTGGCTGGCTTTTTTGCCCCCCAGAAGCTTTATTGCCTCTTGGAAAGGCCCCTCCTTGGGATCCCCATGGCCACTAGTCTGTCAGGACTCCTCTCAGCTCACTGTGCTAGGGTACCGGCCTCCGAACTGGGCTCCTTGCCTCCAGCCTAGCCCAGGGCCAGCTCCTCCTCACTGCAGCCAGTGATCGCTCTAGAACACTGACCCAAGCAAGTCACTCTTCTGCCTGACGGCCCTGGGCAGGCAGTACAGTGCCTAATGGCGGGCTAGCCCCACCACCTGGGGGGTCCTCTGCTCAGCAAAAGCCTGGTTTCTCCTCCAAAGTTGGGAACTGGCCTCTATTCTGTCCAAGCCTCCAGTCCTCCCCTGCCAGGTCCCCGCAAATCCTCCCTGCAGAAAGCTCTCTCGGTATCCGTGATACCCTAGACTTTGTGGGCACAAACTGAGCACTCCCCGGGTGGTCCAATCTTTAGGACCACTGTGGGAGGGAGGAAGGGCCTGAACCGGCAAGTTGTAAGGAACAGGCCCAGAACAGGCATGCCAGGTCCCCAGTGGGCAGGACCTAACCAGGCCCCAGGCCGCGGTGGGGGGAGGAAGCACTCAGCTGGTCTTCAGAGTGGCTCCTGACTGCTTTAATGCATCCGGCGGCCCCGGGCCTGCTCTCTTTTTACTTTTTTGTCTTTTTGAGACAGGGCCTTGTTATGCAGTTCAGGCTGGCCTTGAGCTCACTTTGTAGCCCAGCTGGTCTCCAACTCGCAACAATCCTCTTGCCTCAGCCTCCTGAGTGCTGGGATTACAGGTGTGCGCCACGCCCGGCCTGCTCTCTGCTCCTCCAGGAGGCCCCTGGTCCCTCTGCCTGGCTGATGTGGTGGGTCAGAGTGGGTCAGGTGGCAGAGGACAAGAGCCTGCCAGGACAGAGGTCAGCCAGGACCCCTTGCCCTGAAGAGCAGCCTCGTGCCAGGCACCTGCGTGTACTCACATACGACCACACATGGGTGCCTGGAAGGGACAGCTCCATGTGCACTATGGCCTCCAGTTACCACTTCGGGATCCCCACCCTGTCCCCCATGTCCTGCCCTGGGCTTCTTCAGTGTGACCAAGGGCAGCTAACATGGTTCTGTGGCTTGCCAGGGCCCGGATGTTGGGCTAAGCATTCTCTGTCCCTTAATTCCGTGTAGCTTCATGTGACTGAGTAAAAAAGCAGGGCTCACAGGTAAGTGACATGCCTAAGACCCAAGAGTATATGGAAGAGCTGGGATTGAAGCCCAGCTAAGGCTAACTAAAGCCCTAGCTGGTTTTATTTATTTTTGAAAGGGGGTCTTGCTATGTTGCCCAGGTTGGTCTTGAACTAGGCTCAGGTGATCCTCCTGCCTCAGCCTTCTTAGTGGTTGGGCCTACAGATGTGCACCACTGCATCGGCGCAGGCTCTTGCTGACTGACCTGCATCAGCCTTCAGCGTGCCCCCTGCTTACCTCTGCCACCTCCATCCTTTTCTCACTCCCACTCCCTCCAGGGGACACCTCTTGACCTGGGTGTGCACACAGTCTTCTATCATTCCATCCCTCCATTTCTTCTCCCCAGCTTTGTTCTCTCATGTCACTCCTGCTGCAGCCCAGACACCATCCACCATGTCCGTCTCTCTTCCTACTTTGGCCTCAACCCGGAATACCCAGACCTCACCCTGGGCTCCAGTGTCATCTGAGTCCTTCCTGATCTGTCCCCTGCTCTACGCCCTCTACCAGCCAACACTGTCTCCCGCGGGTTCAGCTCCCTGACACTGCTCCACTGCAGGGCCCAGCACCAACCCAAAGCTGGACTGCCCTGACCCTTGTCTTCCTATTCCTGGCTCTCTAGGCCAGGAGCAAAACCCTCCTGTAGGGGCCAGTACTTTGTGTGTGTGTGTGTGCGTGCGGCTAGGACTGAACCCAGGCCCTGTGCGTGGTCAGAAGCCCTCCACCACTGCGCTATACACACCCAGGTCTCAGAACCCACGCTCTTACCCCTACAAATGCAGCACCCCACTTGTTTCTGGCTCCGGGGCCCTGAGAGCTGACCAGCCTGGTCCCTACTCAGCTTTAACGGCAGGGATGGGCACTGTGATTTTCTCTGCATCTCTGTACGCGCCTGGGGCTCTGTGCTCTGTCCTGTCTCCTCCTCCATCCTGCCGAGGACTTCCAAGTACACATCCGCACAGACCCCGTCTCCCGCATGCGAACCCTGGGCTTCCGTGAGGCTGCTTGGCTGGCCCTTACAGGTGGCCTCCCACCATGTCAACGCCACACCACTCCACTTTTTCTGCCTCGGAAAAGGTCCACTCTGCCCTCCCTGGGAGGACTGGGGGCCTCTTGGACATATCTCTCCCCCTCTCCCTCTCACAGCAATACCACCTCTGGCCCCTTCTTCAGAATGGACCCCTGGTACACTGCGCACCCTCTCCATAGCTGCCGGTTTCTTCGGTCACAGCCTCACTGCCGTCTGACTCCCAGCCCCTGCACCCAGGCTAAGGCCCTTACAGCGGTGGTGGTAGCAGCGTGACTAGAATGTCAGCCGACCAGATCTGCTACCCTTCCTCCAGGGGCTCCCACTTCACAGGACCAAAGTCTTCCCAGCACCGCAAGGGCCCTGACAACTGTCCCCCAGCTGCCTACGCGTCTGACCTGCTGACCATGTCTCATTCCTCCTGCCAGACCTGCACAAGCCAAGCACGCATGCTCCCCAGGGGCTCTGCCCCCGATGTCCCTCACTGAAACCCCTTCCCAGAGCGCTGTGTGCCCTGCTCTCGTTTCCTGCAGTCTCTAATCAAGTGGCCTCTAACCCCACTGTACTTCCGCAGCCCCACCCAGCTCCCGGCTCCCCGCCCTTCCTTCCCTGTTTTCCTACCCCGGGACCTATTTACCTTGTCTTCTTCTGCCCAGCTTGCAAAAAAATGAGGCTGTGCCTGCTCTGGATAAGGCCAACACCTGAGACAGGGCCCGGTATGTAGCAGGGGTTCTGGGAACACTCGCTGGCTCCATCTGTCTGACCACTACTTTCACACCACAATCGAGGAGCTTCAGAGGGGCGCAGAGACCCCCTCACAGCGCTGTGGTTTCTCACTGGGTAGCCCTGACCAGGTTCCGGATCCCACCACTCTACTTCCCATAGGGCTGTCTGGCCTCACAGGGCGCTCACGACCAGCAGGAGCGCTGCCACGCCAGGGCAGGACCCCAGGCACCCTTACGCAGCGCCCCAAGGACGGCTGTGATCAGATGTCACCACAATGGGACCGTGAGCCAGGACTTCTCTGATCTGTGCCTCGGCGGCCGGCCCTCGACTGGGGCCTTGACAGTCCCAGGTCAACCTTTCCGAGTCCTCAGTCGGCCCCCAGCCCATCCTGAGCCTCCCTCAGATGGCTGTCCTGCCGCAAGGCCCCTCCCTATCTTCCCCAGTGAGGGTACCTTGAGTTTCCGGGGCAGGCGGGGCCGTTTCTCCCGCTTGGGCCTCAGGGGGCTGGGCTCAGGCAGCTGCAGGGCCAGGTAGTCAGAAGGGAATGGGGGGTAAGGGGGGGAAGCCAGCTGCTGGTGGAGTGGGGGATGAAGATGGGAAATGGAGTGGGGCAGGGTGGGGTGAAGGGAAGAAATGCAAACAGGAAGAAGAATGGAAAAACAAAAGAGATGGTGATGAGTGTGGCTGCCAGGGCTCCTGGGACAGAAGGGGAAGGGACAGCAGCAGCACTGCTCTCCTAAGTCACGTCTGCCCCCTACTACAGCACAGAGAAGCGGGCAGCCCGGACTCTCACCCTCCAAGGGACACTTGCTGGCCACGAAAGAATGGATGTCCCTTGAGCCGGGCTGGCCTCGCGCAGAGACCCAGCCCCTCTGCCCTCCTGGTGCCCACCTCATTCCCAGGCACGTCAGCCCACTGCTTTCCACCCTGGACCCCAACTCACCGAGCTCAGGTAAGGAGAGGGCGTCCCAGAAGCCTGGAGGGGAAACCCAGAGGACGGCGGCAGGGAGAGGCTGGAGGGGGACGGGGTGCCGCCCAGGGGAGGGCTCCTCTTCCTGCAGGAAGGCCAGGGCGGGGTCAGAGGCAGCTGGAAGCCCAGCACCCGGCCCCAGGAAAGGCTGGCTGCTTCTTACCTCTTAGGGGCCGGTGTGTCAGACAACTTGGGTGTCCCCTCTGTCTCACTGTTATCTGAAGACGCTGTCGCATCCGAGTCTGTGAGGGGAGGGCTCATCAGGGGGCCGGGAGGCCCAGTCTACCTCAGAGGCCGTAACCTCAGCGCTCAGGGCTCCGAGAAGCTGACTCCCCAGCTGGCACAGCGCACACGGGCTACTGGGGAGACCCACAGCCTCCCCAGCCCGCTTCCTGCTCTGGCGCCTCCCTAGCAGGTCTGTCAAGCACATACTGTGCGTGCCGGCCTCCTGCACACTCGCCATCTCTTCTGGTCCTCACAGCCCTCCGAGGAAGGAGGAAAGGTATCACTACCACTTTCCAACTGAGGTCAGACGCGCAGAGAGCAAGTTCTGGGACTGGGGCTTGAACGTGGGTTTGTCGTTCCTTGACCATTTTATGCCGCTCTTGTCTTGTTTGCCTCTAAGCTGCCTTCAAATGCTCCCTCTTCTCCACTTCCTCTATTCAGGGTCCTATTAATCTACCCCTCAATCTCTCCTTTCATTGTGTATGACAAACAGGTAATAATTTTTTTCTTTTCTTTTGAGACACAGTCTTGCTATGTAGCCCAGGCTGGTATCAAACTCACCCTTGATCCTCCTGCCTCAGCCTCCCAAGTGCTGGGATTACAGGCGTGCGCCACCACATCTGGCTTTTCTTACCTTCATCCACTGCTGCCACCCTATCTGCCACAAGATCAGGCCACTACCCTGTACAAATCACCAGCTCAGCAGACTCCCGTCTGCCACCTACTGTCCAGCCCAACTCCACGATGAGCTAAAATAGAAACCTAATCACATCTTTCCTGATGACATCTTCCACCGCCCGAAGGCATGAGCAGTTCTAGAATCGGAACATATGGCCTTCCACTCCGCTACATCCTTGGTCCCCCCACCCCTTTTGTGGTGCTGGGCATCAAACCCAGGGCCTTGTGCACACAAGAGCTCTCCCACTGAGCCACATCCCCAGATCCCCTCTGTCTCCTTTTTATTTTTCAGGTAAGAGTCTAAATTGTCCACACTGTTCTCAAATTTGTGTTCCTCATGTCTCAGCTTCTTAAATAGCTGGAATTATAGACATGAATCTTTTCTAAGCCCAGCAGTGGTGCTTTTTACTCTAGGTTCAACCTACCTTTCTGGTTGCCAACCCAACTCTTTTCTGGTGTGTCCTTTTGAAGGACCGAACGCAGGGTCTCGCACGGGGTAAACATGTGCTCTACCAGAGCTACACCTCCTGCCCCCTAAACTGTACTCCTTACATCATGCCAATCTCTTTCCTCAAAAAGAAATGTCCTAGTGCTTCTGCCTAGAAAGCCTATAAATCACTTAACAACTGCTACACAAGACATGTGGTTCCCAATTTCTCTGCTCAGAAAAATCCTTTAAAAGGCGAAGTGAATGCCACTCCTCTGAGGCTTCCAGAATCCCTCCTGCCCTGTTAAACGCTGCTTCTGCTTCTACTCTCACGTTCACAGCTCTCCTCACACTGCGCTGAGAAGCACCTGAGGACCTGGGTGAAAGCTTAAATCTCTGGCTCATGCTCCTCAGAGTTAACTGTCTGACCGTGAATGCGCTGGGTTCCCTCATGGCGCCTGTCCCGAAGTTCCCCTCAAACAGGAAGTTAACTAGAAGAACTTAGGGAAGGGAGAAGCAGAAGAAGGTGGCTAGAATGAAGCCACTTTCTGCCACGGCCTATGTGAGGAGCCCCTACTTCTCTACCCTTGTAATAGTAACCCCTGCCAGCCCTTGAGCCTAACTCCTGTAATAGTAAGTGAATAATGGATTGTATGGCCCAACAAAACATTACTTACAGAAACAAGCAGCTCCTCGCTGCTATTTGCTGATCCCTCCCCTAGACCAATATTCAAAGGCACAGCTCACGTGATGATCTTACAAGGGCCCCACTTGGGAGGAGCCCATAAATGTCCACCACAGGGCTTTTCCAAACTGTGGATTTCAATCCATTAGTGATCATGAAATCAATTTTGCCAGTTTGCAACTGGCATTAAAGGAGAGGAAAAGCTGGTGTGGTGGGGTACACCTGGGCTCCCAGCATTCTAGTGGGCTGTGACAAGATGACTGCAAGGGGCCAGGCATATAGCTCAGTGGCACAAGCACCTGCCTGGTAAGCACAAGGTCCTGAGTTTGATTCCTGGTACCAAAAAAACAAAAGCAAACAAACAAACAAAAAGAGATGACTGCCAGGTGGAATCCAGCCTAGGCAATTTAGTAAGACTTTGTTTCCAAATAAAAAATTTAAAGGGGTGGGATGTAGCCCCAGATCCAGTGTGAAGACCTTGGATTCAAATCCCAGTAAAAAAGGTGAGGATGATGGTGCACACCTGTTAACTGCAGCACTTGGGAGGGTGAGGCAGGAGGATTGCTATGAATGTGAGGCCAGCCTGGGCTACATAGTGACTTCAAGGCCAGCCTGAACCACACAGCAAGAAAAAAGAAAGAGAAAAAGAGAGAGCGACAGAAAGAAAGAAAAAGAGAAAGCAGGGGGAAACAGTCTAAAAAATAATGCTGCATGCCTGTAATTTTAGCATTCCAGAGGCTGAGGCAGGAGGATCGCTGTGAATTGGAGGCCAGCCTGGGGTATACAGCACGAAAGAAGGGGAAGTAAGTAAACAAAGTGCAGCCAGCCTGCACTATACGGTGAGATTCTGCCTTAGAAATAATATAACATAACGTAACATATCAGAATAAATTGCATTCAAAAATCTTAAAAATGTTTCATAAAAAAATTATACGTATGAATGTAGGGATTTGGTTATGATATAAAAAGATCTATTTAATTGTAATCAATAACAAACAGTCTGAAAAACAACATTTTATATGCTAATCTCTTTATTAACTCTAACCACCCTGGCTCATTCTTACCTCGGGGAGCCTGTATTCATTATTCTGCCAAGAAAGTTCTACGCGGCCTTCACAAGATTGGCTTCTTGTCCAGCTCCCCGCTCATATACTTCCCCAAAAGGCCTTTCCTATGAGCTTTCTAGTCAGATGTTACCTGCAGCCTGCTTCTGTGTGGCCTGCATGCTACAAACGGCTTGGACATTGAAAAAATATTTATTTATTTGTGCAGTACTAGGAGTTGAATCCAGGGCCTTCACACTGAACTACATTCCAGCCCGTTTTAAACTTTTTTTTTTTAAGACTAAGTGTTCTTAAGTTGTGAAATTGTCCAGGCTGGGTTCGAACTCTGGATCCTCCTGTCTCAGCCTCCAAAGAGTGCTGGAATTACAAGTTATGCCCAATTTCTTCTCATCTGTAAAAATGTAAATGCCAGAAAAATGCCATGGTAGCACATGCCTGTGATCTCAGTACCTGGGAGGCCGAGGCAGGAGGATCACCATGAGTTTAAGGCCAGGCTGGGCTACATAGTGAGTTCTTGAACTACGAGCAAGACCTTGTCTAAAAAAAAAAGGTAAAAGCTGCTGGGCATGATGTTGTACAACTGTGACTCCAGTACTCTGGGAGGCTAAGGCAGGAGGATAGCAAGTTCAAGCCCAACCTGGGCAATTTAGAAAGACTCTGTCTCAAACGGGTGGGGGTGGGGAAGTGGGGCAGCTGCAAATGTAGCTCAGTGCAAAGGCCCTGAGTTCTACTCCCAGTACTGAAAAAAAAAAAATACTATTTCATGGGAAAACTATATACAATTCAAATTTCAGTATCCATAGTATTTTTTAAAAACATAGCCATGTTCATTTATTTACATACTGGCTATGGCTGCTTTGACACAAGCTAAGCAGTTTTTTCAAAGACAGTATATTCCACAAAGCCTAAATTCTCATCTGGCCCTTTGCAAAAAGTATTTGTCAAGCCCTGCCCTGCTCCAACCACTACATCACCCTGTTTTACCCTCTTCCACCCATACAGCTATCTAATATTCTAGTCTGTTGCTTTGTTTACTTATTTACCCCAAGCAGAATATAAATTATAAGAGATAGCCGGGCGTGGTGGCGCACACTGTAATCCCAGCACTCGGGAGGCTGAGGCAGGTGGATCGTTGTGAGTTCGAGACCAGCCTGGGCTACAAAGTGAGCTCAAGGCCAGCCTGAACTGCATGGCGAGACCCTGTCTCAGAAAGACAAAAAACAAACAAACAAATAAATTATAAGAGGTCAAGGGTTTGTCCATTTGGCCACTGTTCTACTTCCTGAGCCAGGCTCCGTGTTGGGATCACAGCAGACCTTCAATATATACTTGAAGGGAAATCGGTAGAGGGCGGGAACCGAGCAGGCCCGAGGGTCACTGGAGGCTGCACGAGGTCTGCAGCCTAAGAGCGAGGCCAAGGAAGACTTGCTCAAATGCCAAGAACCATCCCCTCCCTCCAGCTGCGCATGACCTTGCTCACCAGACGAGTCTTCGTCCACGTTCTCGTACTGCAGAAGTCGGTCGAGCAGGAAACTGAGGGAAGACGTGAAGAGAGTTTACTTCCATCCAGCAAGGTTCCCTTGGGCCCCTTGTCCTCCTAGAGGCTCCACCGGGTCTAGGAGTCGGTCGTCCTCGTCCCCTAAACGTGCCTCCTCACCTCTTGTCCCGAGACACCTTCAGCAATTTCCTCTGAGCCTTTCTCAGCTCCTCCTGGAAGCACTCGTGCTCCTGCATTAAGGGAAGGACGCGGGCAGTGCGGCTCGCCAAAGGGGGACAGCTCGCCCCGCCCCCTGTTCACACGGGCACCCGCAGGTCCCCTCTCCGCCAGGCCTCCACACCAGAACTCACGTAGATGAGAAACTTGAGCTTCCGCTTCAGATTCCGGTATTTCTTTTTGTAGTCCACTTCGCCATCCGCCGGCCCGTTCATGGCCAGCCCGGGAGCAGCGTCCCACCGCCGGGAGTCCCGCTACCCTGAGCCAGCTCTGCCGGGCTCTCACGCCCTTCACTTCCGGAGACTCCGCAAGGTTGTGCCCGCGCGCACTACAACTCCCGGCGGGCCCCGCGCGCGCGGTGCGTAACCACGGGAACCGCCCCCTTGGGGAACACCCGGAGAGGAAGGCGGCTTCCACTGGCTACACGGGCGTGGCAGCGGCTTTATGACGTCATAAAGATGGCGGAACCCGGCGGGCGCCGTTAGGGATTCTAAATGAGCTTGGAGATTTGGGAGTCATAAAAAGGTCTCCCTCAAATATTTCTAGTCTCCTGGCAGGGGTGCCCTTTTTCTCCTGCCTTTCGAAATAACAGCGGCCCGGTTGGTGTCCGTGACAACGGAGGAAGGTGGCGTCGCGAGCTGATTACGTTACACCCAGAGTTATCGGTGGCGAATAGGTTTCTAACGAAAACTGTAAAAAGGATTCGTTCTAACCAAGGGTAGGAGATTCAGGGTCCTCCAGCTGCCCAAGAAAAGCACCTTTTGTCTGCCACAGTTCTCCGCCCCAGCTATCCACAAACCGAGGGCCAACGGCGCCGCGCCTCAGGGTGCCGCGGCACGGCGCGTGCGCAGACTGCTCTCAAACGGCTGACGGAGGCCGAGAGGAAAAAAGGCGGGAGCCGCCAATCCCGCGTGGAGCAAAATGGCGCGGGAGAATGAGATGCGGGAGTTCACGCACAGCTTCTTCCGAGGCCGCCCTGACCTCAGGTGCACGGGGGATTGGAGTTAGGGCTGGAAAGGGCCAGGGTGGGACGCAGACGCAGTCTTGACACGTGTCTCTGTAGCACGCTCACGCACTCCATCGTGCGGCGGAAGTTCTTGGCTCACGCGGGTCGTAACCATCTGGAACCCGAGGAGAAGCAGGCGCTGAAGCGGCTGGTGGAGGAGGAGCTGCTGAAGATGCAGGTGTGGGCACAAACCTGGACCCCGGGAGATGGAGCGTGTTGCCCAGGAGGTGATGGGCGGCACATACCTTCTGTCCTCTTGGTGCATACAGGTGGATGAAGCTGGTGCCAGGCAAGAGAAGCTGGACCTCACCAAGCAGGTGAAGAGGCCTCCCACCCCCTGCAGTGACCAAGAAAGAAAAAGGTTCCGCCTCACTTCAGAATCAGGTTAGTGCCTCTTGCTGTCTGTGCGTTCTGCACCCCTGGTTCGTTCAAAAGGCGTTTGCTCCCGTGCGAGAGCCGAGGCGGGAGTCAGGGAGCAGGAGCACGGGGCGTGCCCGCTGCGTTCCCCGCCGCCCTTCCACTGTCGGAGCAGGCCCGAGGGGCCCCGCAGCGCCTCCCAAGTGGGGGCAGACAGGACAGGAGGAACCTGGCCCAACTCCTCCCTCTCCGTATTCCAGGGTCCAGGTCTGCAGTCTCCAGTCCGGACAGCTTTGGATGCTCAGCAAATAACGGGATGGCAGAAGCAGAAATCAGCCCAGCCAAGGAGCCGCGTCCAAGGCAGGCTTCAAAAAAAGCAGTTGAGAGCAGTGACGAACAGCAAGGGGACCAGCCTGCAAAGCAGCCTGCGAAAATGGGATTGGGGGAGAGCAGTGAGGAGGAGGAGGAGGAGGAACAACAACAGGAAGGACTGGGGGCGGGGGAGGGCCCTGTCAGAATAAGTGAGCTCTTAGAGGAAAAGGACAGTGAAGAAGATGAGGAGGAAAAAGAATACAAGGGCAGGACCTTGAAGAAACCTAGGACCAAGGCGGAGCAGGCACCAGGCAAGGCCTCGGCCACAAAGCAGCAGGCCTGGGAAGAAAGTGAGGACAGCGGGGAAGAACCTGTCCAGAGGCGAGCAAAGAAGGCTGGGGGAAGGAGAGATGCTAAAAGCCATGAGGAGAACCAGGAGGAGGAGGAGGAGGAGGAGGAGTGCCTATTCCAGAAGAAAGAGAACAAGGAGGGGGACAAAGATGAGGAAGAGGAGGAGGATCAGAAACCCAGAGCTAGAAGCAAGGGAGGGGCAAAGTCAGCTTTGCAGGGGAAGAGCTGTAAGCAAGAAAGCAGGGCAGGGCGGCTGAGAGATGTGAGGGACAGTGGGGAAGAAAAAGAGAAAGAGGCCACAGGCAGTGGCGCTAACAGTGGGGGAGGTGAAGAGTCCCCCGTGCACAGCAAGAGCAAGGGCGGGACCCAGTGTAAACGCAGGAAAAGGCAGAGCAGAAGCAGCGAGGATGAGGACAGCGGCATGGTGCGCGCACCTGCTCAAGGCACTGCGAGGTCGGCCGCAGCCGGCAGTGTCAGTGGTGAAGAGAGTGATACAGAAAGGGAGGTAAGCGACAGCGAGGCAGCGGGGAGCCCTAAGGGAGAGCGGAAGAACCGCTCCTCCAAGAAGAGCTCCAAAAAGAGCAGAACACGAAGCTCCTCTTCCTCCTCGGATGGAAGTCCAGAGCCCAAAGACAGGAAGGTGAGGGTGCATATGGGGCGGGGGGCCATCACTGGGGAAAAGGGAGACCCCAGCAGGCTCAGCCTTCCACTGCTTTCTTGGCCAGGTTAGTTCCGGTCGCCATGGAGAGGACCACCCAGCTGTGACCAGGCTGAAGCGCTACATTCGCGCCTGTGGTGCCCATCGGAACTACAAAAAGCTGCTGGGATCCTGTCGCTCACACAAGGAGCGCCTGAGTGTACTCCGGGCTGAGCTGGAAGCCCTGGGCATGAAGGGTGAGGTGGTGTGAGTGCTGGGGGGGCTGCTGGAGGGCTTTGGCTCCAGGGGAGTAGAGATCGTATGCTGCTTCTGTCCCAGGTAACCCTTCTTTGGAGAAATGTCGTGCCCTGAAGGAGCAGCGGGAGGAGGCAGCAGAGGTGGCCTCTTTGGATGTTGCCAACATCATCAGCAGTTCAGGTGAGGGGATTTCAATGCCTGGGAGTGGATGAGGTTGGACTTTTTCAGACAGCTAATATGTCCCTGTCCTCCTAGGCCGGCCACGTAGACGGACTGCCTGGAACCCCTCAGGAGAAGCAGCCCCCTTTGGGGAGCTGTACCGCCGGACCCTGGACTCCGAGGAGGAACAGCCTCGTCAGGCTCCCCCAGACTGGTCCCACATGCGAGGCATCATCAGCAGTGATGGCGAGAGTAACTGAGTGCCCCCGTCTCACAGGAGGGACCCTTTCCCTGTGTACCAGGTGCACCTGGCAGCCTGTGCTCTGACGCTCAAAGCAAAAAGCTTTCTTCAAGAAGACGGCAGCCCCCAGGGACATAAGCTGCACTGACACTACTTCTCAGCTTCTCGTTCTCCATTTTGGTGTTCATAAGGATTTATTTTTTGAGACTCAATAAAGGAATGTTTGTAATCACTTCATCAGAAGCAGTCCTCTGCTCTTATCCCCTGTGATGTGGGGACCAGAAGCTAAGGAGTAGCCACTGCTGCTGGTATCCAGGGGTCCAGTTCCTCTTAATTTTTTGGGTTCCCCATCCAAAGTCTGCCACCAAGCCAGGCGTGGTGGCGCACGCCTGCAAACCCAGCACTGGAGAGGCTGAGGCAGGAGGACTGCTGTAAGCTCAAGGCCAGCCTGAACTACATAGGGAGACCCTGTCTCAGAAACATCTGCCACCAACCAGGCCAGGCTAGAGAAGGGTGCGACTCCTATCTTTCCTCTAGTCTGACCAGTAGGCCCCTCTTGTTACCTCACTTTTACTAGGTCTGTAACTAATGTGGAAATGGAGGGAAGATCTGAACTGGCCCGAGAATGTGAGTACAAACTGATCGGGGACAGTCTGTATTCCTTCCCTTTCACAGCTGCCTAGTCCAGGCTGAAGAGTGGGTAGACTTGATTGCCTAATCTGTGCCCACAGGCCTGTGTCAGAACACTTGCTGTTGAGGCACCCGCAAGATCTAAGTGTAGAGCTGCCAGGGATCTGTGAAGTGGGCTTTCTGAGAACCTCTGAAACCAAAGCAATAGATTTTTGGTTTTTTTATTTTTTGGTACCAGGAATTGAACTCTAGACCTTGCACTTGCCAGGCAGGCGCTTGTGCCACTGAACTATATCTCCGGCCCCTCCAAAGTAATGGAAAACAGAGGAATTAAGAGGTCAAGAGGCTCAGTACCTCCTTTGAGGTCTTGATCCAGTCATGCCTGAACTCATTAAAATCACTGAAGTTGCCAGGTGTGGTGGTGCACACCTGTGATCCCAGCACTCAGGAGGCTGAGGCAGGAGGACTGCTGTGAATTCAAGGCGAGTCTGAACTACATAGTGAGACCCTGTCTCAAAAACAAAACAAAAAAAACTAAAGTTGTTAGTTACACAGCCTATTACATAAATACAAGTAACATTATCACCTGCCACTGAACAATTCCTTCATACACACCTCAGACAGAAAGGGTGAGTCCTGGAATCTGTTAGAATAACCAACAGTTTATTAAAAGCTTTCCCTGGGGCTCTGCCAGCCCCACAGCTGAGAGGGGCTCCCATCACTGCTCCCAGGTCCAGGAGCAGCCCTTTCCAAGGTCCTTCCCTTGTTCTCCCGCCCCAGCCCTGACCCCAATTTAAAAAAAA